GAACAAAACTGTAATATATTGCAGTTTACCAGTCCTTAAATGTGGTCGCTCATTAGTTTTCTTTTTCTCAGGCTTTTTTTCCCTTTTCACCTGGTGGTCCTGCCAGTAAAACACTTCTTGTCCTAGGGCGACAATGACGCTCACTGACTTTACTGTATCTGTGAAGGAGCAGTGTTGTCACCCTAGGCTGCTCGCTCCTGAATTGGACTACAGATGCAGCACGCTCGATTTTTCTTTCAAATGTAGCAAGCTACAGACAATGGATGTGAACTAGCTATATAAAATGATTAGGTTTGTATTTGAAACATATTTTTTATGCAGTAAAATGCACTTTTTCTGCAGGAAAATAAATAAGTGTAAATAGAGTATTATGCTCACTGTGGCAATAGAAGCACTAAATAAAATATATAAATAAAGGCTTTGTGAGACCAACTATCAAGAACTTAGAGGTAGTGGCACACATCTGTGTTTCAGCAGCAGAGCACCCAGGAGCCCCAAACCCCAGGGTGTTTGATATGCAAATAATATTGTTTTAGCTTAGACAATCTGAGCTCTTCCTCCCACCACCACTGCAAAGACATATTGGTTAGAGATGGCAGTGTATTGCACTGAAACATGCTGGCGCTGCTCTGATTTGGCACTCTTACACTTCGGGTCCGACTTGGCATGCGATTTGCATGCCATGTGACTTGCAAATCATATGCCAAGTCACACCCTATTGTCTGCTATTAGAACGGTCATATCGGTGCGTTTCCGACTTGGTCGGCGTTGTACCAATTTCTAAAGTAGTGTATGCACTACTTTTGTTGCGATTTGCAAAGACGTCTGTGTCAGATGTCTTGCAAATCGCAATGAAATCGGCAGGTCACACGATTTTGAAATTGTGCGACTTCACTGTAAGTCGTATGATTTCAAAATTGGCTTTCACGTGACCGGGGACTTAAACACAGGCACATAAAGCCACCTCTACTTCTCACTATCAATGTCTAAGGCAGCCTCCGTCAACCAGGGTTCTGTGGAACCCTAGGGGTTCCTTGAGCAATAAAAAATTTCTATCTCTTAGGTAAGTAACCACTGACAACCGTGATCTTTTTAGGTGTCTATAATTTATTCCCAATAACCACAAACGTAAGGAGCATTCTTCTTAGTGAGCATCACAGTAATGTATAGTGAGCTGTAGATATGGTAAATGATTAACAAGGGTTACCTGAGACTGAAATATTATTTTGAGCGTTCCTCCGTGTTAGAAAGGTTGAGAAGGGCTGGTTTAAGTGCTTATTTGTACCAGATGCCTTGAGGCTACACTGGCAGTTATTTCCAGCAAATCCTCAATGCAAGAGACAAGGCAAAATGCCTTGTTTCCTCTATTGTCAGTACACACCACAGCATTACTATGGTGTGTGTGCTGAAAAAAGTACTGCATGCAACCACTGCATTGCAACCCAGCAGTGAAGAGAACTGTATTAAAGTGCTACTAAACCCATGACCCTGTATTCACTATATCTGGTCTCCCACAGTACACTCTACATGGAAATTTAAACATTTTAGTAAATATAAACTGCTAAACGCCTTTTCTCATCAGCAGTATATAGCAGCTTTGCGACTTCTATCAGGGTCCAGCTGAGCACTGGTTAAAGCTTGTAGAAGGAGTTTTCATTCTGCTCTGACTGTCCTATGAGGCTGCATTACCCCTGGCCCTCTTTCTGAACGGTACTGATTGGCCCTGTGCTGATCACATGCATCCTCCCAAAGATAAAAAAAACAATCTAGTAATACACACTAAACTGAGCATGTGCAGAGCTCTGTACAATCAGCAGGTGGATTGGGGACTGTGGAAGAAGGGGGGGATCAGAGAAGACAGGATCAAACAGCCTTCTTACACAATGTGGAGGATTAACCCCTTACATTCCACAGTGAGTATAACAAGCTTGCTTTACTGCATATACAACATGCTTTACTGCATATACAGACTGATTTTACTGTAGTGGGTTTAGTAACACTTTAAAATGTCACTCATGAAATTTCCATAAAATTCTGTGAAAAAAAGTAAACAATATAACGCACTGGGATTACTGCATCTACACTGTGTTTTCCCAACGTACACCAGCAGCCATGCAATCTGTACGTCTCTCTAGCACAAACCATAATATGTGTTAAATTGCATATCAGCTCCGTTAAAAGCTCTTTCCTTTTTTACTGTGAAAATCATTTCCCTTCATGTCCCAAAATCCCCTGAATCCTGGCCATGTCCTATGAGACCACACTTCTTTATTACAAAATAGCAGCAAATACATGTGTAACATCAAAATTCATAAATAAGATCAAATTCCGATCTAATTTGGGAAAACAATGCAACAATAAATAGTTTATGGCCAGTATTACACTTCACATATATACTGTATATCCAGGAAATGCATTTACATTTGTAAGTTTCTCTGGCCTCATGGAGATGTGCAAGCCTTGAAACAAAACTGCTAACTCTTGAATGAAATCGTCATCACCTGCGAGGAGAGAAAAGGTATACATGAAACCAAGTGTCAAGGTGCATGTGCATAATGGATCAAATAGTAAACAAAGAGAAATATAGTGGCAAGAAAAAAAATGTGAACCCCGGTACTAATGTGCCATAAAATGTGATCTGATCCTTATCTAAAATCTGAACACATGGGCCAAATATCGGCCAGTATCACAGCCTGTGTGTGCACCAGTCTGGCCGGCTTCTGTCAAACTGTCTGGAAAATCAGCATCCGAGTGCTGAACGGTGTGTCCTGGCGGGGGGGTGGTCCCCCTGTCAGGACATAATAGCTCAGCGAGGAGATCGCTGTACTTACATCAGATAGTTAGTACAACAAGCTCCTCTCAAGCCCTTAAGCTTTTCTTTTTGTTCAGCCCGCTGCAAAAAAAAAACCTGATGTGTGTACCAGGCAATAATCACAACAATAGACAAACACAATGTGTTTAAGCTGATAACAGACAAACAATTCTAAGTTTTCGTGTTTTTATTGAACACAACCATTAAACATTCACAGTGCAGGAGGAAAACTTAATTGAACCCTTGGCATTATTAGCTGGTCGAATCTCCTTTGGCAGCAGTGACCTAAAGCAAATGCTTTTGGTAGCTCTGGATCAGACCTGCACAACGTTCATCAGGAATTTTTGGCCATTCTTCTTTACAAAATTGCTGCAGCTCACACACATTTGTAGGATGTCTGGTATAATCGGCTCTTTAGGTCGTTCCACAGCATTTCTATGGGGTTAAGGTCAGGGCTCTGACTGGGACACTCCAAGAGAAACATTTTCTTTTTCTGAAGCCAGTCTGTGGTTGAGTTACTTCGATATTTAGGGTCATTGTCCTGCTGAATCACCCAACTTCTACTAAGCTTCAGTTGGCAGACAACCAACCTGACATTATCCTGTAGCCTATTTTGGTAAACTTGAAAATTCATTTTACCCTTGATGATGGCAAATGGTCCAGGCCTTGAGGCAGTGAAGAAGCCCAAACCACGCTTTTACCTCCACCATTCTTCACCATTTGTTTTCATGTTGCTAAGCTGTGTCTTTTTTGTGCCATACATAGTGCTGACTATTATTCCCGAAGAATTCAACTTTTGGTTCATCGGTCCACAAAACATTTTCCCAGTAGCATTGTGGTTTGCCAAGGTGCTCTTTGGCAAACGTCACATATGCAGTGATGAGTTTGTTTTTAGAGCAGAGGCTTCCTCTCTGCCATGGTCATCCTGCCTATTCAAAGACTTATGTATGATAGACTCATAAACAGGGATGTTTGCCAGTTCCAGTAGTCTTCAAGCCTTTAGCTGTTACTCATGGGTTCTTCTTTAGCTTATTGAGAGTTCTGTGTTTTGCCGTGAGAGGCCTCTTGGCTGAGTGCCCACTTCTAGGGGGAGTAGCAACAGTACTAAACTATCTCCATTTATAGACAATTTGTCTAATTGTCCCGTATGTGTTCAGTGAGCACCTTTTTGGTTCAAATCAGTTGATGCTTTTTATGAACAGCAATCTTAAAATGTTTGAGTGTCTTTTATCACTCAAAATAGCTCTAAACCACACCTCCAGACCCACTGAATTAATTGGACTCCAGGTGTGCAAACTACTGATTCTAATTAGTTTTTGTTGAAGTAATTAGTCTGTGGGTTCACCTACTTTTTTACTCCAATACTGTGAATATTTAATAGATGAGTTCAATAAAGACACAAGAAGTCTGAATTGTTTTTGTGTTAGCTTAAGCACATTGTGTTTGTCTATTGTTGTGACTTTGATGAGGAAAAGATCACATTTTATGGAAAATTATTGCAGAAAACCAGTTAATTCCAAGTGGTCCACATACTTTTTCTTGCCACTGCACAGGCTATGTTCATACTTGGGGTGCAAGTTCTTGTGTCAGTTGTCAAGTCTATCCCCATGGAGACTTAGATTCTTGGCCCAGGCTATACATAAAGTTGCAGCTTCTTCCCGAGTCACGGATAAGGACACTGCAATATGGTAAACAGCCCATTCAAACATAATAGGCTGAATTAAATCATGTAATGCAAGGGACAGGCTGCATTCCATTGCATTGCATATGCATTTTGGAGGTGCACTGGGTGCTATTCACAATGAATGGCACCACAGAATGCCCACGCATGTAACATGCTCTGTGGTAACATGCACGTTGTTGCAACACAATGATGTGAATTGGCCTTAAGTCTCATTATTTTCTTGAACTAAACACAGTTTTTTATGCGAATGTCAAATGTCAGAACCTCTACCACTTACTGAAGTTCTTGAATATGACAACTGTATGACAGAAGCTGGAACTTTAGGAAGGGGTTCAATTTAATCTCGACTTGGGAAAATGTCAAATCTCCATGTAAAGTGTAGGTCTAGGATCCAAGTAAGCTCCATGGGGACTTATTTGAACTAACAAAGAAACTTGCAGGCGCCACAAGGTTGCTGCACATCAGAGCTGTTGTTTCTTACAAACATTTTAGAACAGATCAGGTTTATTTCAACACCTCAACTCTGGCTCCGCTTATGTAAATATACAATAACACCAGCATGTATCCACTGATCTGCTGTACACCACGTATATGTAATATGAGGGAACAAGAGACACGCAGTTCAGAAACATTACCCTTCTCCAGGTCATCTTCATCATCAAATTCTTCCAATGAGAAAACTTCCTTTAAGGATTCTAACTCCAGTTTAAGTTTTGCAAGCTCTTCCCCTGACAGAGAGCCAAGGATGGACTTTACCTGGGAATAATAAAGACTGAATATAAATGCTATTTAACTAATACAGAAAAGAAAAGAAACACATAGCAACTTCAGGCAACCAGTAAAATCCATAAAACTGCTAAGGCCAACAAGGATGGGATGTAATTGTTGAAAATCAGCAAGTCTACAAAGTTTAACTTTAACTTGACTCCTACATAATGCACTTCAAAACTGTATGTTGCACATTTACAGGTTCAAAAACTGATTGCACCAACTGTTGTCGACTTCTCACCAAGCTGCTTGGCGATAGTTTGGTAGCCCAGTCCAGCCTTGTGTAGGTCTACAATCTTGTCCCTGACATCCTTGGACAGCTCTTTGCCATGGTGGAGAGTTTGGAATCTGATTGTTTGATTGCTCCTGTGGACAGGTGTCTTTTATACAGGTAACAAAATGAGATTAGCAGCACTCCCTTTAAGAGACTGCTTCTAATCTCAGCTTGTTACCTGTATGAAAGACACCTGGTAGCCAGAAATCCTGCTGAATAATAGAAGATCAAATACTTATTTCCCTCATGAACATGCAAATCAGTGCATAATTTGTTAGACATGAATCTCTTTTGAATTTTTGTTGCTATTCTGTCTCTCAGTGTTACAATACACCTACCATTCGATTTTTAGACTGATCATTTCTTTGTGAGTGGGCAAACGTTCAAAATCAGCAGGGGATCAAATACTTATTTCCTTCACGGCATGCATGTTTCTCTATGCTGTTTCTTGTTAAAACACTGCAAGTATAGAAAAATACCATTTGATCCTGACAATACAGTCTCTGCTGCACTGAATTTGCACGCACTGTTTTTCAGCCCTGTCTCAATTCTCCCATTCCGAGAATTATACAGCCCGTATATTGGTCATTTTTTCATTCAACCAGTGGGTTGAACAACAAAAATGCTTGATTTCCCCATCCACATATTTGAGGTGGATGGGGGAACCTTCCCTGCTGAGCTTTTGTACTCTGGCAGTGGGGATTCTTTTGCGCTGTTAGAACATACTAATCAGCGCTGCTCGCTATACCTGGCAGTCCTGATCAAGCAGCAAAAACCTGACAGGGCGGTTGAACAATTGGTAGATCGACTTCTGTACAACCACCCTGCCCATACATGGATCGAAATCCAGCCGTTCCATGCTGAACTGGCTGAATTTTGATCCATGTATAGCTGTCATTACTGAGAATGTAAATAACATGGGCTTAGAAAGATGAGGATAGTGAGGTAATGATGTCATTGCATGATTCTGTAGTCCAGCACAGAAAAACTGCTTGGGATTTCTGTGCAGCAGAGGCAGAGCTGTCAGGATCTAGTGGTATTTTTCTATGCTTGTGTTGTCAACTCAAACAGGAAGTTGGAAGCTCACTAAATTTATGGCAGGTTTGCCAGGTATTTTTTATGCACAGTGCCTTGAAACTGTATTCATACCCCTTTGAAATTTTCCACATTTTGTCATGTTACAATCAAAATCGTAAATGTATTTTATTGGGATTTTATGTGATAGACCAACACAAAGTGGCACAAATTGTGAAGTGGAAGGAAAATGATAAACAGTTTTAAAATTTTTTACAAATAAATATGTGAAAAGTGTGGTGTGCATTTGTATTCAGCCCCCCGGAATCAATACTTTGTAGAACCACCTTTTGCTGCAATTCCAGCTGCAAGTCTTTTTGGGTATGTCTCTACCAGCTTTGCACATCTAGAGAGTGAAATTTTTGCCCATTCTTCTTTGCAAAATAGCTCAAGCTCTGTCAGATTGGATGGAGAGCATCTGTGAACAGTTATTTTGAAGTCTTGCCACAGATTCTCAATTGGATTTAGGTTTGGACTTTGACTGGGCCATTCTAACACATGAATATGCTTTGATCTAGACAGTTCCATTGTAGCTCTGGCTGTATGTTGTTTAGGGTTGTTGTCCTGCTGGAAGGTGAACCTCCGCCCCGGTCTCAAGTCTTTTGCAGACTCTTAACAGGTTTTCTTCTACGATTGCCCAGTATTTGGCTCCATCCATCTTCCCATCAACTCTGACCAGCTTCCCTGTCCCTGCTGCATGATGCTGCCACCACATTTCACAATGGGGATGGTGTGTTCAGGGTGATGTGCAATGTTAGTTTTCCGCCTAGCGTTTTGCTTTTAGACCAAAAAGTTCAATTTTGGTCTCATCTGACCAAAGCGCCATCTTCCAAATTTGCTGTGTTCCCCACATGGCTTCTTGCAAACTGCAAACAGGACTTCTTATGGATTTCTTTCAACATTGGCTTGTTGCCACTCTTCCATAAAGGCCAGATTTGTGGAGTGCACGACTTATAGTTGTCCTGTCTACAGATTCTCCCACCTGAGCTGTGGATCTCTGCAGCTCCTCCAGAGTTACCATGGGCCTCTTGGCTGCTTCTCTGATTGATGCTCTCCTTGCCCAGCCTGTCAGTTTAGGTGGACGGCCATGTCCTGATAGGTTTGCAGTTGTGCCATACTCTTTCCATTTTCGGATGATGGATTGACCAGTGCTCCGTGATATGTTCAAAGCTTGGGATCATTTTTTTTTATAACCTAACCCTGCTTGAAACTTCTCCGCAACTTTATCCCTGACCTGTCTGGTGTGTTCCTTGGCCTTCATGATGCTGTTTGTTCACTAATGTTCTCTAACAACCCTCTGAGTGCTTCACAGAACAGCTGTATTTATACTGAGATTAAATTACACACATGTGGACTCTATTTACTAATTAGGTGACTTCTGAAGGCATTTGGTTCCACTAGATTTTAGTTAGGGGTATCAGAGTAAAGGGGACTGAATACAAATGCATGCCACACTTTTCAGATATTTATTTGTAAAAAAATTTGAAAACCATTTATCATTTTCCTTACACTTCACAATTATGTGCCACTTTGTGTTGGTCTATCACATAAAATCTCATTAAAATACATTTATATTTTTCATTGTAACATGACCAAGTGTGGAAAATTTCAACAGATATGAATACTTTTTCAAGGCACTGTATATAGCTAACACAATGCCAAAAACAGGACAGAAGAAGAGAAGTGTAACCTGAAAGTTCCTGATATTGAGCTTAGAATTCTTATCCGGTCACTCTGTGTTGGTCTACCACATAAAATCCCAATAAAATAGATATGTTTTTGTTGTAACATGACAAAATGTGGAAAATTTCAAGGGGTATGAATACTTTTTCAAGGCAATGTAATTGCAGCTTTTAAAAAAGACAAAATATGGACAAATGTGCACGTATTGCAAAGATGTTTCTAATATGGTTTTTGTCCAGATATACACTTTAAAACTACCTACCCTGTCCTAAGCGTATAAACGTATAAGGAGATACAAATATAAAAAGATATAGTGAATGTGTGAACAGATATCTATTCCACAAGCTAAATATTTAAAAGGAGAATATTTGTTTTATGATAAACTATACTGAATTATATGTGAACAAGCCACGATAAAATATTACTTTACACCTGGGACACCTTTTGTATCAATTATTTACCCTCCAAATTGTGAAGCTAAAGCAAAGCTGGGCAAAGATATTGTGTTGCAGGTCATGTATGCACAACCTGAACAACACAGCTGTCATCTTGCAATGTGTGCATAAAATGAACACGGTTTCTTCATAGTAGATAAAGATGATTTTAGTGCAATTGCCAAAATCCGACAAGATGAGTGTTAAGTGGGAGAATCTGATTTTACTGCCGTTAATCACACGATCAGTTCCAGAGGTGTGGTAAGAAAAATTACACCCCCAGTATCTGTTAGCGTTCTATAACTGTGCACAAGTATCTCACCAAATATACAATTTATAACAATCTCTATACACACTTCTAGGGGGAATGAACCAAGTAGAGGGGTCCTAGGATAAGAATCCTCTACAAACTCTGTTACTGTTGCAATAAAAATACATTTGAATATATTGGGCAGCTTTGGAGAAATATGGCTGGCTGCAGATAAAGTCATTTTCAATAACATATTACAAAAAGTCAGATTTAGAAAATATAAAAAGCATGCACATTTAAAAAAAATAGCTTCAAGAAATGTTTTTAAATAATTTCACGTACTGACTGGAGAGCCTGAAATAGCAACTTAGGGTATGTACCTTCCCCTCACTTTCCTTGGACAAAAGCTCCAAAGCCTCCAGGTGGGACAGGCCCTGGTATTCATCAAACAACAGGCCGTAGTGTGCTCGTCGCTCTGTCTCTGTCGTAACTTCACTGCTGACACGCTGCTCCTCTCTCTCCTTTGCTTCCCTTAAAACCTAAAAGGACATTCAAACAGATAAGGTAGTGTCACAATTCCTGCCCAGGCCATTTTTCAGATTTCAGAGCTGTCACACTTTGAATGATAATTACAGTCATGCAACACTGTATCCAAATGAATTTTATATTTTTTTTTTTACACAGAGCTTTCTGTTGGTGGTATTTAAAGCGGAGTCCCACCCAAACGTTTGCCACATTGAACTGAGCCAGAAGTTTTGGGCCCCCTGCAGCCCTCTGGAACATTTCACAGGTCCCAGAGGACTGCGACTCATTCACAAAGCGCAGCAAGCTGTGTGCATGTGCAGTAGAAAACCAGCTGTGAAGCAGCAAGGTTTCCCTTAGTCAAGATGGCAGTGCCAGCAACTGACAGCTGACTGAAGAATCAGCCTGGGGTGAGGACACCGCTGGATCCCTGGACAGGTAAGTGCCCTAATAACAAAAGTCAGCAGCTACAGTATTTGTAGCTGCTGACTTTGAAGTTTCTCGGCAGGGGGGCCAGGGGCCGTAACACAGCTTTAATAACCATTGGTTTTTTTTGTTTTTAACTATTATTTTTTGCTATTTAAAGGAAAAAAGAGCAAAAATGTTGAAAAATAACAATTTTCCTTAGTTTTTGTCATAAAATTTTGCAAATAATCTTTTTTCATAAATTTAAACCAAAATTTATTCTGCTACATTTCTTTGGTAAAAATAACCCACATCAGTGTATATTATTTAGTCTGTGTGAAAGTTATAGAGTCTACAAACCTTGGTGTGTGTATGTATATATATATATATATATACATATCAATCCTGATGTACTGACTGCCTATCTAATATATTTATTTGGTAAGAGGCATGATGAATTTAAATTAAATCTTTTTTGTCGTTTAACAAGTTATTTCTCACACACAGCACAGACATACTTAGGCTGATGCTCCAAAACACATTCTGCTACTCCTCGGCGATACTAAGTGTGTGAGACTTTTTAATAGCCTAGCCACACAGATGGGCCCAAAATCCAAGGTACCTTAAGGCTTTCTAGGGGCATAAATTATGCATCTAATTTCCTGTCTACGTATCACATTTTTGGAGGCCTTGGAGCGCCAGGACAGTAGAAAAACCCATAAAATGACCACATTTTGGGGAGTAAACACTCCAATGTATTTTTAAGAGCCAGTGAGTCTTATCTCATTGTTTGCCACACATTTTGGAAAATGCAGGAAAAAAGGAAATTAATGTTTTACATAAAGTTGTCAGTTTTAAAGGCTATTTTGCACACACAGCATAGGCATATTTAGAATTTTACCCAATCTGCTATTCCACCCAAGTATGGGGATACCACACATGTGAGACGTTTTCAATGTCTGGGCTGGTTATGTATCAGGCTTTGCACGTTGTGTATCACAAAAATCAACCAACACTGCATAGAAAACAATTCACTGTACTGGTGTGGTCAGGGAATGTAGCTTAGCGTAGCTTCACATATAGCAGCCCTGTTCCTATCAGCCAAGCAAACCTTGTAGTACGTGGCTGCCCCCAAGAATGCCATGTTCATTTGAACTACAGGAGGCTGAAAAAAGGAAGAAGAAGAGAGTTCCTGTTGTTTCAAGAGTGCAGCTGTCCACAGGGGATGGTTTGGGACTGGTATCTCTCAGGAATGTAGTCAACAGGATGTGAAGATGCGTCAATAAAGGTGGCAAGCACAGACATGACCAGTAAACAGACAAATGATCAGTCCACATAGCAGGTAGAAATGTGGTCACTAGACAGGCCAACTGCTGGCTGCACTGGTCACTGTGACTAGTGTGATGATGATCAGGAACACTGTGACTGGCTGGTCACACTGTCTGTGCTTGGGGCACCCGTATGGATGTCAAATTGGGGGCAGCAGCTGTGTCCTGTAGCTATTGTGTCCCAATAGACTTTGATGGGACTGCCTGCCCGGGGATGCACAGAACAGCTGTGCATCCTTGTGTGGGTAAACACAGCCCTCACACACTGTACTCATTGATACACCCCAGTTAAACAAGGCCTTTTGGGGACACTGGGACTGGTGTGGCAGTGACTCGGGACACTGTGGCTGGCTGTACTATTAGGCCTTGTTCACATGTCTGCGTTCTGGCTTTGCACCCGCATGGATGTCAGACTGAGAACAGTGGCTGTCTTTGTGCAGCCAAAATACATGAAAGGAACTGCCTGCATGGGAATGCACAGACCACCTGTGCATCCCTGTGCAGGTAAACATGGCCAACGCATGGGGTATGCATTGATATGCTCCGTGTGAATGACACCTTGTGGTGAAGGGGGGGCTGGTCACTTTAAAACCCAGCGTCTGAGCTGCGTTTTTTACCACTCCTCAACTGCTCAACTTTAGCTAAGAAGGTAGTGGCTGGGGATGTACACGTGCCACGGCAGGAATTAACACTCCCTGTGGTGCTCAGAGGGTACTGCCGTTCCCCGAGCGCAACCCATTCAAATAAATAGGGCTGTGCTGTAACTAGCCCGCAACTGTGGTAGTCCAGTATTTGGGGGGTTAAAACAGGCGTAGAGGAGGCAATACAGCACCTCCTCACTAGCTGTTAAATGCTTTCTAAATAGTGATCTGAACACGAATCACTCTTCAGAGAGCACAGCAATGAATTTATTTTAATTTTTTTACAATAAAAAAATCTATCACTTTCAATAGAGAAGTGCAGTGTCACTATGATGATCTGGCCAATGATCAGAGACACCTGTATGCTGCAATGGCATACCATGTCCCTAATCCCTAACCACAGCAGTACAATGTCACCATAGTGAATCTGCACTGCTCTAGTGTTTTTTTTCCTTTAACATTTTTCAGTGTATAGTATGACTGTATCACACATTCTCTCTCCATCTCACAGCTAATCATTATGACAGGAGAGACTTCACAGGCTGCAGCGTTTCAGCCTGTGTTTAGGTGTGATCTCTGTGACAGGCCAGGGCCCTGTACCCTGATCACAGATCCTGCCACTGTAAAGAGCGGCCAGAACAGGAGGATGCACCCATACGAAACAAGGAAGCTCCCGTCCGGCCACTATATATAAACATGCATAAACATATAAACTGGATTATTTAATTAATATTAACTCTGTTTATTTATATATTTTAATTGTAATTAAGGCAGTGAGCACATTATACAATGTTTAGTAACTCACAGCAACCTCATTTAAATTTGCTTTAGTAAGATTTTGAATCATGTGATTAGCTGAAATTAGATTAATTGTACTGCCCTTATGAATTGGCATGTACGTCTTGTCTCACCCGCTGTTAAGAAAAAAACACTATAACCAGCCCCTTTAGAACCCCCTCTAGTGACTATTCTCCAGCGCTCTATATTTAATAGAACAAAAAAAAAAAAAAGAAATAGCAAGCATGTAAAACATGTAAGCCTGTGTGCAGGCAGCTCCATTCATGTCTATTGGGACGCAGTGACTGCACACACACAGTCGCTGTTACCAATTTGACATCCGTGTGGAATGCGGGTGCATGTCCCCACTGCTACCAATAGACATTTGTTGAGACTGTCTGCATTTGGATGCACACCTGTGCTGCATTCTTTGCGAGCAAACACATAAACACTTACATGTGACAGGGTAGTGTTCCTGCGCATAAGCCCTTTGGTCTTCTTAAATCCTGGATCTCCTTCTGCGATCACATCCATTGTCTTTTTCCCAATAAACTCCAAGGCATCCAATCCTCCTGTGATGACAGTCTTCCCCTAAACAAAAGCATAAAGATTACAAGGTTAAAGGTTAACTTCACTTTCAAATAAAAAAATAATATAGCATATACAATTGCTACACAAGCCATATTGTAATATTAAGGTGTTTTTTTTTTAAAATTACCATTCTATTTCAATAAGCAGCGCTGTAATTTTCTGAAACAAAATTCAATGCAATATGGCAACCTGGATGCGTTCTGTACACATTTGGCCTCCAAAATGTAATTTCCTGCTTGGCTGAAGAACTCTGCACTAAGATACAAGTCAGGTTTCTAGCATCCACTGCAACAAAAATATCACTTCGGCAAGATGCTCCCTAAGGTTTAATCACTTCTATAGGGATGCAAACACTGTACTTTCTAATCAGAATACTGATAGTGCATCAGCTGCTTGTAATAAATTAGTCGCTCTCTTTCAGAACCGCTCTGCACAAGAAATGATCCAAGAAAGAACTATTTCTTCAGGGCAGAAACAGGTAGGAATCTGTAACAAATTTGTTAAAATCTCTGCAATGTACATTGATCATCCACAGGGGATGTTTTTTCTCTCAACAAATGTGGATCAGCCTAGGCAACTGCTTAAAGTGTTACTAAACCCACAACAGTAAAATCAGTCTGTACATGCAGTAAAGCATGCTTTTTATACTCACTGTGGAACCTAAGGGGTTAATCCTCTGCATTGTGTAAAAAAGGCTGTTTGATTCTGTCTTCTCTGATCCTCTCCTTCTTCCAATGTCCCCCTCTTATCTCCTGATAAGACATATCATGTGGAGAAACTCTGCATATGCTCAGTTTGGTGTGTATTGCTAAAGAGGTTTTTTTTCCTGGGAGAGTGCATGTAATCAGCACAGGGCCAATCAGCACTGTTCAGACAGAGGTCAGGGGTCCTGCATCCTCCTAGAGCAGAAAGAAACCCCCCTCCCTACCAGCTTTAACCAGTGCTCGGCTGGACACTGATAGAAGTCACAATACTGTCCTAACTGCTGATGAGAAAAGGTATTTAGCAGTTTATATTTACTCAAATAATTGCATTTCCATGTTCTGTGTACTGTGGGAGACCAGATATAGTGAATGCAGGGTCCTGGGTTTAGTAACACTTTAATGTCTCAGTGTTGATAATAACATAAGCTGAGCCAGCTGCTACTATAAAAAAAAATCACCAGTAGATGTGACCTAAAAAAGTTGTATACTTACCAGCCAGGTCGAAACACATGTACCCTACTTTGTATTTAAAGTGGAACTAAACCCATCAATTTAACAATTTCAAAAAGCAGTTACATTCCCAGCACATGCCGGGATGTTACTGTCAAATATGCTTGTGCTGTCAACCAAACTGTCAAACCATCAGATGTCTGGTATCAAACCTGATCACATTTGCAGCATTATGGCAGCTGAAGAGCAAACAAAGGCTAAGATAGCAGCTTTCTTGGCTGAACGCGTTAGGAGGGTTTAGTTCCGCTTTAAGTCTAGTTACTGCTAAACTAACTGAAAAGCATAACTGTCAAATGTATCATATGCCAAAACATTTGTTCTTTAATTTGTGATTTACACAACTCTGCCACACTGCATTACCAGTCAGGGGACACAACTATCTGTAATTAACTCTAAAGATATGCTGGTAGGTTAATTGGCTCCTGTCTAGTATGTGTCCCTAGTATGTGTATGTATGAATGTGAGTTAGGGACCTTAGATTGTACGCCCCTTGAGGGTTAGGGACTGATGTGAATGTACAATACAGTATATATGTAAAGCACTGCGTAAATTGACAGCGCTATATAAGTACCTGAAAAAAATAAATAAAATAAAATAATAATTTTGCAGCTTCTTGTGTGTCACCTGTTTAATTGATAATTATAATCACATCCCTATTTCACTGCTCAATGACAGGAAGATGGCAAATCAAGCTGTGTGTTTGGAACAGGGGTGTGTGAATTGCAGGAAATACTGAATAGAATTACAAACAACTTGTATTTCAAAAGGTGTATGTTGCTGTTTCCTTGGAATTCCTGTTTAAAGTGTAGCTATAGTATATCGAAAACCAAAACTTTTTTTGGCTTTGACTTTAGAGTTCATTCACTGTGGTGGATTGCTTTTCAGAGGCACTTGACAGGCCTTGAGGAAGCAAAATGTTGCCTCTTTGCTGCTTGTTTTAACTCTGTAATTCTTTTTTCTTAATGTGAGGAAATATTTTTTTAATTGTCTGCAAATCTCCTCTTTGACAGTTGTCACAGGAATCAGTGTAATCATTGAAAGAATTCCGCTCTAATCCTCTTTAATTTAATTTTTGCATTATCCCCACTTTTATTATCATTGACATTGGTGATCAGTAATTAGAGAGAGTGAATCTCCCTGTCGGGGACATAGACAGCAATAAAAGCCTATGTCTGACTATTGAAACACTTTACTGCCCCAACCAGGTGGCGATCTCTGCACAATAAAGAATTGTACATTTTGGGATCTAAGGGCCTGTGCTCTGGTCTTGCCACATCTGAGCTGTATTCATAGTAAGAGTGTTTACATTTCATGGTCATCGGAAAAGCAGACTGATTGAAGTCATTCTCCGGGGGCCTTAAGCTTAGATAGTGTAGATAATGTAAATTCTGTTTGTGCACTAAAACTAACCTGTGTATATCTTTAAAGGATAAGCTCACCTTTGGAAACATGTCACATGTTCCACCTGTTTTTTAGGGTGGAACATGTAACATGTTCCCAGTGCTGCAGCTGCTGCCCGCTATATCCTATACAGGCAAGCAGATATACTGACAGATCAGCAGTAGACCTGCATGGCACCAGCGATCTACTGCAACCAAAAATGATAAATGCACATTATTTTACCTGCAAAAAAAATTTAGATTCTTGGTCAAAAGGTGAACTTATCCTTTAAAGAGTGTCTTTCTTGCCTTAATCATTCTAAATCCATGTTTATTGAGTACCCACAAATATATGCTTTGTGTGCAACATCTGCTAGGATCAGGCGATCTTACAAAAGGGTATCATGAAGATGCTAGGCCTAAGGCCTATCAGGAAGAGCTATGTGTAAGTACCTCATCTAGGAAGATTGGAGCATGATCAGACAGGTAGATAGCACCTACAGAAGCATCCTGTACACCATTTTGCCTGACCAAAAAGAGTTGATAAAGGTCAGGAGTAGTTAGGGTGGGAAAAAGGTATAATGTTTGCACATAGGATACAAGAGATGCCAGATATCCACTAACTGAAAGCAGCATAGGCATTTCTTGATCCTCCTAAGGCACAGGTGTCAAACACAAGACCCGCATGCCAAATCTGGCCCTCCAGGCAATTTCTTGTGGCACTTGCACCTCTCCTGCAAGTACCCCTTTGTCTATGCCCCCACCTTGTCTCAGCAGTCGGCAGCAGAGAGGAGAATAGAACTCCTCTGACAAATGCTGCACCTCTCAGTGCAGCTTCAGCACCCCCTCATCTCGGCCTTCCCTGGTCTCAGCATTCAGCAGACTCTGGTAACTGACTCCACTCTTCCTCTGGTCCTCCTCTAGACCCTGCACTTTCTGCTTTCCAGCATTGTCTCATAAGGGGGTACATGGTGATGTTAGGGATGGTGTGGGATTCTTGACATCTATCTGATGAAATGAAGGGTGAGGTGCTCTGGACATCTAGTCTTACAGATACAACCGGCCCTTTGAGGGCAACCATAATGCTGATACAGCCCGCGATAAAATGGAGTTTGACACCCCTGTCCTAAAAGATGTGCAGGACAGGGGAGATGATGATTTGGAAGCGTCCAGTGCAGGGTCTACTACACGGTTGAAATCCTAATGCCAACATTATCAAATGCCTAATACAAATCCTAATGCAAACAACGTATGCAGTTGTTCAAGTCTGGTCTCCAAGAAGAAGAATTAAAAGTATGTAAATAAAAGACTAAATTTCCCCTTTACAAATAAGGCACTGCCTTCTGGGTGATGTCAGGTGTCTAGGAGCTATATTGAGAGGGCTTTTTGTTGTTTCCTGCTTATTCCGAAATGAAAATAAAAAAATCTTTGGCTATCAATACACCTTAAATGTAATTTGAATCTGCATTAGACCCATCCTGCAGTAGGAAATGTAAGGAAACTTACTGTACTTTGCACGGCAGTGGAGATGCTGGAGAGAAAGCCAAGAGCCCCTGAAATTGGTGATGAGGTCTCACCCTCTTTGGATTCAGAACCCTCTCCGGTATTGGCATCTATAAAAGGGAAATAGTGTGAACATATACTGGATTTAAACATCTATATGTTCTTCACATTTTGCCTTGGTCTTCTCTGCACTCTCCTATTTCCTTCAACAACCAAAAATATACTGGTAGGTAATCGTAATCGTTTCCATTAAAACTTATGGCAGAGTGTGTATGTGTACATCGGTACAAATGACATTGGAATAACTGCCCTTTTTTAAGGCGTAAGGATGTGGATGGTCTTCTGTAGTACAACGGGACTTTCAGAACTATAGAAGTAAATAAAATAAATGTGAATATATGAGTCTATTCAGGCTTCAATACTTCACATAGCACACTAGTGCTAAATACATACATTATAATCAGAACCATCAAAAACTCAGGAGCAAAAATTAAAAATTTCAGGTCCCTATAGCCAAAGTATTCCTACTGTGTTTTGCATTCCAAAAGAAGAAACTCCAACAAGAGTCTACCATGGTATAAATCTCACCATGACCCAATCCCTATCATATATAGCTCAGCCAATCTCAACCCGAGGGTCCCTCCAGAGGTTGCTAGGGGTTACTTTAGCCTTGTCTGATTGACACCTCCCCCCCCCGAATGGTGCCTGTATTGTTCCAGGTCTAACACCATTTGGCAGAGGCAGCAGTATAACACCAATTAATTTTTTCCCTGTCTGGAACAGTGTAATTCTGCCCACCACAGTTAGGTGGGGGCACAATCTTTCCACTGACCACCAATGAAAGGGGCATTTTTCTCACGGACTAACAATGCATTGGTTTTAGAAAGGGGTTCTCCGAAAACTGAAAATTATTTCAAGGGTTCTTCTGGGGTAAAAAGGTTGAGAAAGGGCAATATAAATATTTTACAGTAGGGATCATTAAAACATGCAGTTTCCTCAGTTAATTCTGCATGGAAAAAGTAAAATACTATCCCGTCATTAATCCAATGCTGATTAAAACATGAGTGTCCACTTGCCTTCTGCTGCCTCAGCTCGGTCTCTAAATGACAGCTCTACAGGACTGGGAACTCCCAGAGTGCTCTCTGCCTTCTCAATTGCCGTACTGATACCATGACCTGTAGAAGGGAATGTGTTATTTTAAGAATCAAAAAAGCATCAAATAAAAAAATGTTTACTACACACTTCATTGAGTTTACATAACTGGTAAAAGGTTTTAGATCTGTTTACAAACCACTTACTTCGGGGAAGTTATTCAGTTTCATTATCTCTGAAGTTTATTAAAGTCAAATTCCAAGAAAACAGTACAGTACAGTTGAAATACACAAATAAATACCATGTTCTCTACCAAAGGATTTCTGTGTTCAGACAATCTTGGGATCGAAGTGTCTCTGCCATACAGCAAAGCCAAGCCAGTGATCTCACACTTCTCTGCTGCACTTGAGTAATACATCTTGACCACCTCCCTAATCCCAGACTGTGACTGGATAATCTAATCCCAGACTGCGACTGGATGATGGAGGAAGAAAGATACACACAGGGCAGGCCATTACTCCACACACTCATCCTGTAGACTGAAAGGGCTCAGCAAAGCCACACAGCTTTCACTGACTCTGAGTGTGCTCCCTCTTTTAGTCTGCGTTTTGCCGTGTAGTACATTACAGGAGGCTGATTATCAAGACAGATTTAGGAAATTAAGGTAGTTCTGTACAGTAACAACTGGATTTAAATGTGTGTGTTTTTATTTTTTAACATGCACCTTAAGCCCTAGTTCACACTGATGCTGGGCAGAATTTTTGCAATGATTCTGTGCGATTTCCGCACAACATCATAATTGTATCCTGTTCATGCGAACCGTTTCAGGTATGTAATTTAAGTTAACACCCCGAAATTGGTGCGCAAAACACAGTGCGATGTGCAAAATCGGATCGCATGGGTGTGAAAACCCATGCGATCCGATTTTGGTGCAGACAAAAAAAGGGTCCTGCACTATTTTGGCGTGGATGGGGTGCAATTTGAGCCATACAAAAAGTATGGCTCAAATTGCATTGCACAGAAATCGCATGTAATTTGCACAGGAATGCAATGCGGTTCTTGTGCGAATCACATGCGATGTGCTGCACCGCATCAGTGTGAACCAGTGGTGCAATTGCACTTATTTGTAGTACTGCCTTCTCTCCCAGTCTTATACTCACCTGTAGCCAGTCCAGCAAGATATCAGCTGTGCAACCTCAATAGTACTGCACAGCCGCTTGCCAAAATCTTCCTGGCCAGGCCCAAGTATGCCCTCTGCACTCTCATTCAGTCCTATAGAGAGCTCTTTCTCCAGACTAACTTTCTGTATTCGAGGTGATTATAGCCATATTAATGCACTTGCAACAGAAACTGCTTGGACCTTGAAGAAGAGAGCACTCCCCGAAAGCTTGTCCTGAAAAATTGGATGTTAGTGCAAATTAAAAAATTATCATGGGTAGTACTCAATTGTCTCTGAACTCCAAAGCTCTCCAAAGGATTTAATGAGAGTGAAGAGGCCATGCGAGACAGAAAAACAAGCAGCTGTAGGGTGCTAAAGATGGTAGACAGTCAATATCATGCTGGATCAGGAAAAAGTGAATTTAAGGCAGGGAAGGGGAAAAAAATGAGTGTAATTGTGTAAGCTTATATATATTACCTGTAGACAGCCATGAGGAGGTTAGTAACGTACACCAAGACGTACAATACACCAGAGTACCCTGTTGTTCTAGATTAGTTAAACTGGCCATACTCTTTCATTTCCAAATGATCACATCTTCGTTTGACCAATGGTTTACCCCAAATGCTCATCCACTATTCAGGGTATGTAGGGCAATCTCCCATAACAATGTAGGGTAGCATCAGAATGTCAACAAAGAACTTGGCCTTCTCAAACTTTCTCTAAACTCATGGAGCTCAGCTTTAAAGAGACCATCTCACCTACTGAAAAAATGCAAGTATTTTATATGCTTGTGTGACATAAAATGTACAGATTTGAGTAAATAAGATGTGATCAGTAGCAATATGTAATCATAAACGTAGTTGCATTATTAAAGAAATATTCAGTCATATATTCAGTCATAGGTACTCAGACAGATGGTCATCAATTAGCTCATCAATTAGCATCTGAAAAGCCTAGCTGCCTCTGGAAGTGACACCTTGGGGCTAATAAGGTTTTGTCACCTTCTGGGGAAACCAGTTTTAAGGAAATGGCTGGAGACATTTAGGCTTCATGACAGCAGGGGGTCTGCGATCTGGGGAGCTAAAAATATATCCATACATCAAAGGGTATCTTTCATCTCTCATAAAAGCTAAAATATTAGTTGCAGAGAGATGGAAATACTCCCTTCTGTTTGTGCACGCTCTGTGTGCCACACCGACGTATGAAAACCATATTCGTGGATCAGGTAGAAGGCCAGGCAAATGCAGGAAATGGTTAGGTGGTGCTGGAGTGCGACAGTTGAACAGTGTTTGGTACTGTTGCGATCGGACTGATGCGCTGGATTCGGAAATCCAATCCCTGACTTGGTGTTTCAAGCCAGTCTTGGTCCTATTGAACTTGACAGGTCAGCACCCAGAACATCCTGTGGGCAGGTACAGGGACACCCCCCCATGGTCAATTGGCCGAAGACTAATGTCCCGCCTACGTCCATATCCCCATAAATGGACTACCCAGGCACTGGGACATTGTAATTCGTATGGAGCTGGTTCAATCGACCAACAGACTGCTATTTCTCCCTGACTTGCTCCAGTCGCAGGATAGATCTTGGTAAAAGTTTTATCTCTGTTTTTTATTCCCTTTTATTTTATAGTGAATAGTCATTTGTGTGTCTTCTTGTCTTTTTTGTATTTCTGTAGCTTTTTATATTTTGTACATATTTTATGCACTGCCCACTTTCGGGAACTTAAAATCTCAAATTAATTAGTGACTTCTGTGTATTTAACCACGGGCTCATATCTTCAGAGAGATTAGATTGGAGAGATTAGATTGTATTGTATTTTAGTGCCTTTAAATGCTCGGTCAAGCTCATTGCCAATCTGTATGCAATTGCACTGCGTGTGGGCAGATTGCATGCGGATTGTAAAGGTAACAGATCTGCCAGACGGAGATCTGTGTGTGTGGGGTGTCCCAACAGACCGTTCTGCGGATAAACTGCTAGGTGGTGGCAGGCTACCTTTTGTGGTGTGTCTGGTGTGGGGGTGTGTGGACAGTGGAAGAGTGATTAACACCAGGGTTCAAGCTGTGGGATAGCTGGAGGGACCTTAGAAGGGTGTGTAATTACTAAGCTGTTCCTCAACTCTAATCTGTGCACCAAATTGTATATAAGATTTGTATCTGCCAGTGTGTGTGGTCGACCAGCTGGATTGGAGTGGAGTCTCCATTTGGTGGTGGCCAAAAGGTAGTGCGGGCTGTGGAAGTATATCACAGCTGATCTTATATACGGTTTTATATATTCAAAGTTAAGTCCCCTTTATTCCCTCTTACCCTAAGTCACGGCTGCACGTGAGAGCCTCGGTTAGTCGCTGTGGGCGTGGTGTGTGAGGGGGGAAACTGTGACAGCTTGCTTTAAGTGTTTTTCTTTTCCATAAATGATCCTATAAACACTTGCAATGTACCTTTAACACTTGCAAGAACAGCCAATTCCCTAGCACCACCCCTCTTTACGCTTGGACACCATAGCCCCTTCCTCTTCTGCAAGTGTCTAATTAGTGTCTGTGCTGAGCTAGTTTCTGCGCCCCTCCCTTCTCACCTACCAACATAACCTTTTTTTGCAGCTGCCAGCGAGGTAGCAAAGGAGAATGTGATAAGGTGTATATGAGTCGCATCCAAAATGGCAGCTCTTAGGGCTTTGGGAAGATTACATAAGAAATGCTTTTAAAGGTAAATAACATGCATAAAATATGTTAAATGCACATATAATGTTAGGGAGGATAGTTGGTGAAATGAATGGTCTGGTGACAGGGTCTCTTAAAGTGTAATGTAAGTGCCCTATTCGCCATTGTGCTTCCAGCTTCAAAGAGTGTTGGGGGGTCAACATGCCCTGCTAGGGAAAGGGGTGTTATAGGGAACCTGTTGCTTTGCCCTGCATAAGCATAGGTACACACTGTGGGCTGAGGATCATGTGACTGGTTTCAGAGTTGGACAAAAATACTCACCTACAGTCGCCACAGTAGCTGAAGCAGTAGATATTAATGACTTTCCCCAGCTACCCCAGTATCCCCAGGATGAAGGGGATTTGGCAGCAGAATCCTGCAGGTGAAACAGATACAAGGATATAAAAATAACACTTGTAGATGATAATTAAAAGAAGTTCTATGGTCATAGGATACACTTTCATTTTATAACATCAGAATTGTAATAGCAATACAAACAATAGTTATATTTGACAATATAGAATCCCCTTTCATGTTGTGATTGCTGCCAGTCTGAGAACCATCTTTTTCCACAACTTCCTGGATTTTCTGTAGGCTTTGCAGTGTCTGCTCTGATGTTTACATTATATTTTCTAAGGACTACATATCCCATGGTACCTTGCTGTCTCCATTGATTCCTGTACTGACTCCCCCTCCTGAAACTCTTCTCAGCTTCTCTGTAGTCCAGAAAGCAGGCTCTGTGAAATGTGTGACATATGTGTCACAGAATTCAAGGAACTAAATGTATGGAATGCATCACAAAGTAAGTTTACAAACGTCAAGCTGGTTATAACCAAAAGGGTTTAGATTGATAGTCGTGGCCAAGAAATAACTGAAATAGAATGTGGGAATGCATAATAGGAGCAACCTAGATATACCTGAGATAAAGTGTTGGTCTCTTTTAAATTTTCATCATTGACACCCTTTAAACTAAAACTGGCCATACATTCAGATCAACAAATAATTTTCCACCTGGCTCTGTCAATTTTTAATTCAACTTTTGTCGAGGCGGGTGGTGCTTGCAGAGTGAATTTCAACCTTTGGGTCCCATTCACACTTGCAAATTGGGCATTTGTGATTAGATGCCGGAAGCCCAGCTGAAGTTCCCTGTAATTAGCTGCGGGGTGGAAGCCCCTCTGACAGCTATTCGCAGTCACTCACATGTAAATCGCTCCAGCATCAGTTACCTGATAAGCCCTGAATGCAGACAGTCTGTGTCCAGGGCCAATCATTCGCAGGTAATTGTTCCATGAGCAATTATATTTGAGCCACCATAAATAGCTGCAGGAGCTGTTAGCCTCCAAATGGAGCTACCCACTCATCTAATCGCAGGGAACCCCTCACTGGGTCTCCCATATCTGTTCAAAACAGCACCATTTGCAAGTGTGAATGAGGCTTAACTGATCAGCAAGATGTCACATGGGTTGAACTGGATGAATCTCTGTGAAAGAAATTTTAAACTGTTTATGTATTTCATTTTCCTTTGTCTACTACAATTAGCGTCCTTGGCATCATACTAACTCTTCTGCCACGTACTCACATTTCTAAGATCCTGATAAGACATTAGCCCATCTATGTATTGCATACAATTGTAATACTAATGTGATACTTATGTAAACATGGTTTTAAAAAATCCTCAAATGCACTCCTCATGTTCCCTACTGCAGTAGTCATTATTAATTTGTGCTTATCTATAACATATCTAAGACACTTATGTCCTAATTCAACTTTAATTCAATTATACACTATGTAACTATATATGTCTTTTTAAATTGGTGATAATTAATAGTAACTAAATGTCTGGTACTGCTTACAACACACCAATGCTAGTAAACAAAAGTTTATCAGTATGGACATGGTCCTTTTGACCTTTCATCTCCATGCAGTCTATAATATCTTATCATAATAACTTTCGTGTAGCTAATTAAAATGCAATGCCATTAAGAGTAAGACTTTCTGTAAAAAAAAAGACCCACAAAATAAAAGGTCAAAATAAAATATTAAAGTGAACTGTAACCACAGAATATGAATATCTTTTGTCTTTTAATAATATACTATATATTTATTTGTGAACACTACAATAGCAGCGTCTGAGTTTTCTAGAATACCTGCTCAGTCTTGTCAGGAGTTTGACTCTCCTCCTCCTCAATGGACAGGCTGCTGGACTTAGACTCTGGGCGTTTCCGAGTTATGGCAACAGGTTCAGAGACTGTATGTTTATCCTCTCCAGAACTATCGTCTTTAGGGTCTGCATTGAGTTCCTCATGGAGTGGCTGGGCTCCCCAGTGTTTTCAGTGCTGTCCTTTTCAGACATTTTTAAAACATCTGGGGTAAAAAAGACATGTGAACAAAGGAGATAATCTTCAATAAAGCCACGAATGAGAAGTAGACTTTAAAGTTACCTCTTGCATGGCAAAACAACAGCTTCACATTGTCTACCTGCTGCTTATGCTCAACTTTCATTTACTCCCAGAGCCAGTGGGAAACCTGATATTTCAGGGTATGGGATACCATCTGACTTTCTCTTCTCTTCCTCCCATGATGTAATGTTGTGTGGTTCACCAGCCAATCACCGGGTCACTCCCATGTCACTTTGGTGAAAGAGTCCTTAACTTTGTGTAAGCTCTGACCAGATCAGTTTGGAGATTACAAAGGGATTTTTCTTTTTTCCTGATGAATAGGGCAGTGTTGGAGCCAAGAGAGGTGAATATAAGCGGAGTGGAAAGCGGGATGGACAAGAAATAGTGAACCTGTTGGTTTTCCCTGCATGTGCCTCCCAGTCTGTAAACATACATCTTAATGCAGCTACAGCAGCCAGGAATGTGTGTTTACTTGTCAAACCAACTTTCAGCTTTCTGGTGGAAGTTATTCTGGTGGCTGTAATGCTGCCTGCTTACTTCCCCATCAAACAGAATGTACACTTCCACAGCCTCCAAAGTGACCCCCACGTTACTTTTCCCACCATGTATCCAGGGCTCTGCTCTCCCACCTTCGGGCCTTCTATGGGCATGGGAGGTCTCACTGGGTAGAACGTCGCCTATGGCCAATTTTGGGTACTAAAGTTCTTTGCTGTTTCACTAACGTGCACAATTTTAAGGCTTGTCATGTTGAGTATCTATTTACTTGGCACAAGCTCAACTTTTATATTTTACAAATTAAACTGGATAACATATTGTGTGCACGCCAAAATGAACTTTAGCGTATTGTTTCTGAAAATGTATGTTTGAAAAGCAGTTGCATTAATATTGTGTGACAAAGAGTTGCAACTACCATTTTGTCAGATTGGATGGAGAATGTCTGTGAACAGCAATTTTCAAGTCTTTCCACAGATTCTCAATTGGATTTTGGTCTGGACTTTGACTGGGCCATTCTAACACATGAATATGCTTTGATCTAAACCATTCCATTGTAGCTTTGGCTGTATGTTTAGGGTCGTTGTCCTTCTGGAAGGTGAACTTCTGCCCCAGTCTTAAGTCTTTTGCAGACTAACAGCTTTTCTTCTAAGATTGCCCTGTATTTGGCTCCATCCATCTTCCCATCAACTCTGACCAGCTTCCCTGTCCCTGCTGAAGAAAAGCATCCCCTCAACATGATGCTGCCCCTACCATGTTTCACAGTGGGGATGGTGTGTTCAGGGTGATGTGCAGAGTTAAGTTTTCCGCCACACATAGCGTTTTGCTTTTAGGCCAAAAAGTTAAATTTTGGTCTCACCTGACTAAAGCACCTTCTTCCACGTTTGCTGTGTGCAAACGTGACTTCTTATGGCTTTCTCTCAACAATGGCTTTCTTCTTGCCACTCTTCCATAAAGGCCAGGTTTCTGGAGTGCACAACTAATAGTTTTCCTGTGGAAAGATTCTCCCACCTGAGGTGTGGATCTCTGCAGCTCCTCCAGAGTTACCATGGGCCTCTTGGCTGCTTCTCTGATTAATGCTTTCTTTGCTCGGCCTGTCAGTTTTAGGTGAATGGCCATGTTATGATAGGTCTGCAGTTGTGCCATACTCTTTCCATTTTTGGATAATGGATTGAACAGTGCTCTGTGAGATGTTCAAAGCTTGGGATATTTTTTATAACCTAACCCTGCTTTAAACCTATCCACAACTTTATCTTTGACCTGTCTGGTGTGTTCCTTGGCCTTCATGATGCTGTTTGTTCACTAATGTTCTCTAACCAACCTCTGAGGGCTTCAAAGAACAGCTGTATTTATACTGAGATTAAATTACACACAGCTGGACTCTATTTACTAATTAGGTGACTTCTGAAGGCAATTGGTTCCACTAGATTTTAGTTAGGGGTATCAGAGTAAAGGGGGCTGATTACAAATGCACGCCACACTTTTCAGATATTTATTTGTAAAACATTTTGAAAACCATTTATAATTTTCCTTCCACTTCACAATTATATTCCCCTTTGTGTTGGTCTATGAAATAAAATCCCCATAAAATAAATTTATATTTTTGGTTATAACATGACAAAATGTGGAAACTTTCACTGGGTAGGAATACTTTTTCAAGGCGCTGTAATTCTTTGTGGACATGATGATGTTAGCATAATATGTGTTGGACAAACATTTTTCAATTGCTGGTGCCATGTCTTATCTCTTGTTTTGCAGTAATGTGCAATATCAGTTTCTGTAGACTAAATCTATAGTAGTATCTGTGGCACACCTCATTCCCTCTTTGGATGTTCAATGCTATGTAAAATGTAAATGCCATGTCTTCAACAAAACATTTTGTCTTGATTAAAAAAAATAACATATGAAAAATGGGAAAAATTGGTCAGGCAGCAAAAAGGTTAAAGTACACCTGTTATGAAAGCTATACAGTATATGACCTGCCATTGCGGGATCTGTACTTCTGGAACTCCTAGTTCTCTATTATTCTGATTCTGTGGCTTTGATATTTTTGGAATCACTGACCCAGAACATGTGACTGCCACAATTAAAAAAAAGATCACCAGGCCGATTACAAACAGCTTCTGCCTGCAAACTTTTCATATGTTATGGATCACAGAAAAAGAATAGAGACATTTTTTCATTTTTCCCACACATATTAAAATCTGGATTTTTGGCTATAAAATTACTTAACACTTAGAATATTATATATTTTCTGAAAGCAGCCTTGTAGAATAAAAATATAGAAGTTGCAATTCTTTATGTTTAATGACATTCGCACAACTATTCATCAAATCTATATTTTAAGGAAAAAAATACACTAATCTCAATTGTACAAAATATAAGATTAATGTACAGTAAAGAGACAGTAAAGATTAATATACAGTAAATGTGTCAAGCCTCAAAACTGCATGCACCCATTAAATGGCAAAAAAAATACGGTACCCAAACTTATCAATAGGTTTTGCTTTATATGCTTTCACAGCTCATCATTTTAGAGCAGGGGATCTCCAAATGTGAGGCCCTTGGGCCACATCCAGCCCGCTAGCACATTTTTTCCAGCCCGCAGCTTGACTCCTCATACTCACTGCAGGGTCTGATCTCTTCAACTTTTGTCAGGTACAGGGATCATCACTGCATATTTCCTCCTCCCCCCCCCCCCCCCCCCGCACTGTACAGAGCACGTCCTGCAATCTGACAAAGCCCTCCCCTCCCAGAGCCGTACTGTTGTATTGGTTGCTAGGACCGTCAAGAAGTACTTAATTGGAGTTCTGCTGTTAACACGTCTTTTACACAGGGTGCCTATGTACAGGACTGAAGCTGGGAGGTGCAGCAGATTTGCACCAAAAATTGGGGGCTCTGAGGGGGACATAAATGTATGTGAGGGGAGCTGTGATGGAAACATAAATGTGTGTGATGGAGACATAAATGTGCACGGGGGACATAAATGTGTGTGTGGCTGTAATGTGAACACAAATGTGTGTGAGGGGGTCTATGAAAGGGACACAAATAAGTGACCTCTTATGGTGACAACAGATGTGCAGGAAAACTCTGATGGGGACACCAATTTGCGGGAAGACTCTGATGGAGACACAGATGTATGGGTATACTCTGAAGGGAACAAAGATGTAAGACCCCAGGGCATGAGGGTTCAGCATTTAGGTGCAGGCAGAGGACACAGGAGCACCATCTAGCACCGCTGCCAGCTGCCTGTCAAAATATTTTCTATTCTACTTCTGCGGATTCATTTATAAGTAACTGATTTTTTTCAGTCCACGGATTTGTGTAAAATATACAATGTGGCCCTTGAAGTACAAATTTTGTAGACCTCTGGTTTAGAGTAAACCATAAACCACCACATCTGGCCCTTTGGCTGTCCCTCGATGCCTCCTCCATAAGGAAGCTGATAGACTTAGAGCAGCACGCTGACAGATGTCCATGTGGAGAGCTGAAAGAACTGTAAGGAAAGAGGCCGAGGAGTTAAAGGGTACAGGGGGGAGGCTTGGCTCTGAAGGGACAGAGTTACCTAGGAAGCATCCCGATGATCTCCTGTCACTCTGCTACCCGACCAACTTCTTCCTGTGTTATTTTATTTATTTATTACAGGTACTTATATAGTGCCGTCAATTTACACAGCGCTTTACATATATATTGTACATTCACATCAGTCCCTAACCCTCAAGGGGTGTACAATCTAAGGTCCCTAACTCACATTCATACATACATATACTAGGGCCAATTTAGACAGGAGCCAACTCACCTATCAGCATGTCTTTGGAGTGTGGGAAGAAACCGGAGTGGAGGAAACCCACACAGGCACAGGAAGAACATGCAAACTCCTGGCAGGTGGTGCCGTGGTTGGGATTCGAACCAATGACCCTAGTACTGCCAGGCGGAAGTGCTAACCACTTAGCCACTGTGCTGCCCAGTGTGTATTAGTGCCTGCACACTGCAGGAGCCATGTGCGTGTTCTCCACTCCAGGTCAGAATATCCAGAAATCCCTGCTGTACCGACCTCAGACTTTCTCCATCTTGCCACAGTGCTTTTCAGGAGGCAATGAGGAGATGTTATGTCGCCTCACCACCTGATTTAACCCTATAATGCCACACTACTGCTCCACAATCCAATACATTACATGCGGTTGTGGCGCAGCCTTACTGAACTGAGCCATTTGTCACACTCTGCACCTTGAGCTAAAAATGCCACATAAACAGCCCCGTCCGGCTGTTATTTTACAGCTCAGGTGAGCTGCCATCTGAAAGAGTCCTAATACACGAGCAGTTTTACCTATTATTACTAGCACCAGGTGTTTGTTTTCTATGTGTTTATGTACCTACGAACC